CAGCATCACCACATTTACTCGCCCTCCACTACCTTACTTCTCTTCAACCACTACTGACCACTCTTCGTCTACCGTTACTTTTGTATCCCCATTGTCTTAGTCCCATTCTTGAGGTTCGTAACTTCTGTTCTAACAAATACACCCCTCAAACTACTTGTACTTTGTAAGTTTACTTTAATAATTTGTCTTCAAGATAATCATAAATATAATTCGACCCGCTATTAGACATGTCAAACTACTCTGCATGTGTCACAGGGCCTACCCATGTTGTTTTGAATCAAATTTTCGAATATTTTCTCCTTGTTTATCCTTTCATTATGACCTTCATAATCTAATACAAGGAACAAAATAGGTGAGCTACAAAGTCTCGTTACTGCTTAACTAAGTAAGTACTTGGAAAACTTGATTTTATCCATCTGAAAAGTTTGCGATACAAAAGGGGCTTTCACACAAGCATGTCATAAAAATACCCTGCTCCTGAGCCAAATTTGATTGCATCTGTCAACAAGCTGATAAATGTGAGTGGAGCACAGCGATGGCGTTACTCCTACATTCAAGTATGTTCATGCATTTAAAGGGCACTTTGAGACACTTTAGCTCAACTAACATGTGGCAAAGGACACATTATGTTCAGCAAATTTAGTCTAATACACGTATCTGAAATTGTTATCTGTTAAATCTCTTTAGCATTTGGATCGTTGGCACGGAAGAAAGCCATGCTTGTTCAGCGTGCCCGAAATATAAAAAGGGCAGGTTTTGCCGCTATTGCAAAATCAGGCTACTTAATCAGGATCCGAGACCAGAACAGCTCTAGGCTAGAATGGAATCGGGTACTTATACGAGAAACGGGACATTATTACACGATGGTTCCAGACTAGTTATGATGATAGCTAGGTGGTATGATTAAATGGTAATTCCTCTTAGTGTTGACGACATTCCCTTAAAATGCCATCTTTGGATGTCTCCAGGGGCGGTGGTGTAGGTCAGTTGTTTATGTTTTTGTTCCTGACGCACACAGGTCGGGTTTGAGTGTAAGGCTTAAGCAATACTACATAGCTCGGTGTTCCAAGTTTTGATGCTATTAGTCAACATGTTCAAATCCGTATATTCATATATTCATCATGATAAATCACATATTGGCCATTCGAGGAGCTGTTATTGGAAAACAGATACATATAAACTAATGACCAAGCACTCTTAAATTAATACGTTCCTTGCATCTTACCGGTATATTACACTGGGATACAATTAGGTATAATAATAATAATAATAATAATAATAATAATAATAATAATAATAATAATAATCCTGAAAATCTGGAGTTCAGATCTGAACGCTCGCAATACAATCAAAGCCGCAAATACTTATGCTGTGCCCGTCCTTTCGGATTCTTTTGGTGTTGTTGATTGCACGAAACAAGAAATTCAGGGTATTGACACCCTCACACGAAGAATCATGTCAGACAATAGATCCCACCACCCTCGCTCTTCCCTCAATCGCTTATATTTACCAATTATGGTTTGATTAATGTGGAGGCTCTTCATGATAGAATTGTTTTGGGCACTTTTGCACACATTTATTTGTCTGAAGATCCTCTTATGAAGCATGTCAAGAATCATGATGAAAACAAGGCATTCCACAGTTTTCTAAAACGAACCAAGTATGTGGGACATAATCTCAATGTCGGTGTTGATTTTGTTAAAGGTTCTGTACTGCTGGACGGTACAGAAATGAGTGTCAACCAAGCGAAGTGCCATATCAAATCGGCCCAGTTTTTAAAGGAGAGGCTATCTGAACGACCACTGCATCGAGTTTATTTGCAGTGTGTTGAAAAGATCAGCAATCCTGCAGTGTCCTTCGCTTGGATGAATTCGGCTGGCCTGAAAAGTGAAACAGAAGGCTTTCTGTTTGCTGCTCAGGACCACTCACTTCCCACTCGAAACCGTCAATGTGTCATTTTGCATCAAAATGTTAATATGAAATGTAGATTATATAATGAATTTGATGAGACGGTCAAACACATTGTCAGTGGATGCCCAGCTTTGGCACAAACACAGTATCTTAAACGACATGATGGGGTAGCTCGATCATTTTATTACCGTCTTCGCCTTGCTTGTGGTTTTGACACTGAGATCCATCCATATTACGACCCTAAATATGTAGAGGGCGTCAAATGGAAAATGATGAATTCAAAATTCTTTAGAATAGGCCAATTTACAGCCTCAAACGTATCCAGGCCAACGAACCTGATCTTGTCCTTTTTGATAAATCCAATGAAATCATTTATATCATTGAATGTTCTGTCCCCTTTGGCACTACTGTGATTGACAAGATTGAGGAAAAACATGGCAAATATGCGGACCTCGCTTTCGAAATGTCACGCTTGCATCCCAAGTACCAAGTTTTCCTACTCCCCATTGTTCTCGGTACCTTAGGTTTGGTACCTCCCAATCTGTTGACTGACATTTGGAGAGTACCCGGGTTTGCTACCAGGAATACAGCCCTTCCGACTATATGATTAATGCAGAAGGCTTCAGTGTTGGGGAGTCTTCACATTCTCTGAAATGTTCTTGGTGGGTTTGACTAGGCAGCGCTTCCTGGGAGAAGTCCCATTCGCTGTCTGGGCTGCGTGTAGAGGGGCAAGGGCCCTGAGCTGATGATGAGCCTAACCATCCTGACTGTGCCAGGATCACCCAAACCCTCTTAGCTGCAATTTTTATTTTAATCTGTACATGATAATAATAACAAAAATAGCCGTAGTAGCCCCTTCATATTTCTGTGCAGATTTAGGCGTCCCAGACATCTATGTTCGAATCCCAGAAACGCCCGATTGTTTCTGGGTTGATTTCCTGTGCTCACGAGTTTCACCCAAGTTGTGAACGTTTGAGATCTGCATCATGTCGGGCTTCGTCCCCAGTCAGCGAACACGCCGTTATGTAACTGAAAGCCGTGTTAAATCCTGTAGCCAAGAAGGAGGTCACACCGCTGCCAACAAAGCCTCATCAACTTGTGAAGAGAGAATACTGAATTTCTTCCTTCTGGCATTGAACGACAAAGCCATCAGCACGGCAGGAAATGAAACCTTTTTCGCGTGACAGGCTTTACTAATGTAATGTTCCAAGCATAGTAAGTGGACGGCAAAAGTGAAACAAAAGAGATGTGTCGGCAACGGCGGCACAAAATGAGAACCATCATACAATCCCAAACACCTGTCTCTGTATGAATGCCTAGTGTCTATGCTGAAGTTTTTTCGAGTGTGTATTTGAAACTTCACATTATACACGTAAGTATTTGCTTTTTCATTCTTTAACATCTCAACCGGTGCCGTTTTTGTGTTTAGTATCTATGCATGTCTCTCAGGAATGATCATCTAGTAATATGCATATTATCAATATCACCTAATCGTTTCTATTTTTGATGAGTATATTTATGTTGACACTTATGGTTTTCCTTTGGCCCTATGTGTTTCTGGTCGTCCTTACTGCCCTGGTGTTCCAAGTGTTTGGTGTTCCCTATGTTCTATGTTCCTGTGATGTCTGTTGTGACGGTGGTGCTGGTATTTCTGTGATGTCTGTTGTGACGGCGGTGCTGGTATTTCTGTGATGTCTGTTGTGACAGTGACGCTGGTATTTCTTTGATGACTGTTGTGACAGTGACGCTGGTGTTCCTGTGATGTCTGTTGTGACGGTGGTGCTGGTGTTCCTGTGATGTCTGTTGTGACGGTGCTGGTGTTCCTGTGATGTCTGTTGTGACGGTGAGGCTGGTGTTCCTGTGATGTCTGTTGTGACGGTGTTGCTGGTGTTCCTGTGATGTCTGTTGTGACGGTGTTGCTGGTATTCCTGTGATGTCTGTTGTGACGGTGCTGGTGTTCCTGTGATGTCTGTTGTGACGGTGAGGCTGGTGTTCCTGTGATGTCTGTTGTGACAGTGAGGCTGGTGTTCCTGTGATGTCTGTTGTGACGGTGTTGCTGGTGTTCCTGTGATGTCTGTTGTGACGGTGTTGCTGGTGTTCCTGTGATGTCTGTTGTGACAGTGAGGCTGGTATTTCTGTGATGTCTGTTATGACAGTGAGGCTGGTATTTCTGTTATGTCTGTTGTGACGGTGTTGCTGGTGTTCCTGTGATGTCTGTTGTGACGGTGTTGCTGGTGTTCCTGTGATGTCTGTTGTGACAGTGAGGCTGGTATTTCTGTGATGTCTGTTATGACAGTGAGGCTGGTGTTCCTGTGATGTCTGTTGTGACGGTGTTGCTGGTGTTCCTGTGATGTCTGTTGTGACAGTGAGGCTGGTGTTCCTGTGATGTCTGTTGTGACGGTGTTGCTGGTGTTCCTGTGATGTCTATTGTGACGGTGGTGCTGGTGTTCCTGTGATGTCTGTTGTGACAGTGAGGGTGGTGTTTTCGTGATGTCTGTTGTGACAGTGAGGCTGGTATTTCTGTGATGTCTGTTGTGACGGTGTTGCTGGTGTTCCTGTGATGTCTGTTGTGACGGTGTTGCTGGTGTTCCTGTGATGTCTGTTGTGACAGTGAGGCTGGTATTTTCGTGATGTCTGTTATGACAGTGAGGCTGGTATTTCTGTGATGTCTGTTATGACAGTGAGGCTGGTATTTCTGTTATGTCTGTTGTGACGGTGTTGCTGGTGTTCCTGTGATGTCTGTTGTGACGGTGTTCCTGGTGTTCCTGTGATGTATGTTGTGACGGCGGTGCTGGTGTTCCTGGGATGTCTGTTGTGACGCTGGTGCTGGTGTTCCTGTGATGTCTGTTGTGACGGTGCTGGTGTTCCTGTGATGTCTGTTGTGACAGTGAGGCTGGTATTTTCGTGATGTCTGTTGTGACAGTGAGGCTGGTATTTCTGTGATGTCTGTTATGACAGTGAGGCTGGTATTTCTGTGATGTCTGTTGTGACGGTGTTGCTGGTGTTCCTGTGATGTCTGTTGTGACGGTGTTGCTGGTGTTCCTGTGATGTCTGTTGTGACAGTGAGGCTGGTATTTTCGTGATGTCTGTTATGACAGTGAGGCTGGTATTTCTGTGATGTCTGTTATGACAGTGAGGCTGGTATTTCTGTTATGTCTGTTGTGACGGTGTTGCTGGTGTTCCTGTGATGTCTGTTGTGACGGTGTTCCTGGTGTTCCTGTGATGTATGTTGTGACGGCGGTGCTGGTGTTCCTGGGAAGTCTGTTGTGACGGTGGTGCTGGTGTTCCTGTGATGTCTGTTGTGACGGTGTTGCTGGTGTTCCTGTGATGTCTGTTGTGACGGTGAGGCTGTTTTTTCCTGTGATGTCTGTTGTGACGGTGTTGCTGGTGATCCTGTGATGTCTGTTGTGGCGGTGCTGGTGTTCCTGTGATGTCTGTTGTGACGGTGGTGCTGGTGTTCCTGTGATGTCAGTTGTGGCGGTGCTGGTGTTCCTGTGATGTCTGTTGTAACCGTGCTGGTGTTCCTGTGTTGTCTGTTGTGACGGTGGTGCTGGTGTTCCTGTGATGTCTGTTGTGACGGTGGTGCTGGTGTTCCTGTGATGTCTGTTGTGACGGTGTTGGTGTTCCTGTGATGTCTGTTGTGACGGTGTTGCTGGTGTTCCTGTGATGTCTGTTGTGACGGTGAGGCTGTTTTTTCCTGTGATGTCTGTTGTGACGGTGTTGCTGGTGATCCTGTGATGTCTGTTGTGGCGGTGCTGGTGTTCCTGTGATGTCTGTTGTGACGGTGGTGCTGGTGTTCCTGTGATGTCAGTTGTGGCGGTGCTGGTGTTCCTGTGATGTCTGTTGTAACCGTGCTGGTGTTCCTGTGTTGTCTGTTGTGACGGTGGTGCTGGTGTTCCTGTGATGTCTGTTGTGACGGTGGTGCTGGTGTTCCTGTGATGTCTGTTGTGACGGTGTTGGTGTTCCTGTGATGTCTGTTGTGACAGTGAGGCTGGTGTTCCTGTGATGTCTGTTGTAACGGTGGTGCTGGTGTTCCTGTGATGTCTGTTGTGACGGTGTTGCTGGTGTTCCTGTGATGTCTGTTGTGACGGTGTTGCTGGTGTTCCTGTGATGTCTGTTGTGACGATGTTGCTGGTGTTCCTGTGATGTCTGTTGTGACGGTGTTGCTGGTGTTCCTGTGATGTCTGTTGTGACAGTGGGGCTGGTATTTCTGTGATGTCTATTGTGACGGTGTTGCTGGTATTCCTGTGATGTCTGTTGTGACGGTGCTGGTGTTCCTGTGATGTCTGTTGTGACGGTGAGGCTGGTGTTCCTGTGATGTCTGTTGTGACGGTGAAGCTGGTGTTCCTGTGATGTCTGTTGTGAGGGTGGTGCTGGTGTTCTTGTGATGTCTATTGTGACGGTGGTGCTGGTGTTCCTGTGATGTCTGTTGTGACGATGGTGCTCGTGTTCCTGTGATGCCTGTTGGGACGTCGCTGCTGGTGATCAATTGATGATAAAATCCTTTCTGTCCATGATTTCCCATGACAGGTACATATGAGGACTGAACACGTCAATCTATTTCCCAAAAGGGTGTCTCTTTAACTTACCCAACAAAGACCTTTAAACGCAGAAAACGTGTTTTATAATTTGAAAGCTGATGCATATACGATCAAAGCTGATGTATGCCGCGGATGATATATTATTTCATTTGAAAAATAATTCCAGAACCAGAATCAAAATCGTATCACGGACGATCGCAGAATGGAAAAAAAACAAATTGAAAACCGTGGAAGCAAAACAAATTAAATGTATGTCCTCACATCACCAACTTTCAATGGAAAGGATGACGCAAATGCTTTTTAACCACCAGGATTATATAACCGGCGATGCTTCGCCATGTAATGTGAATATTCAGTGAAGCGGTGATTTTGCATATTTTTTGTTATGTGTTTTTCAAAGCTTTTCTCTTCATGTTAGCTTCGGGTTTAAATGCATTAAGCAACAATTGTGCGTCGCAATCATACTTAAGCGACCTCTATTATCGTGAACTCGGATGATGATGATGATGATGATGATGATGAAAATGTAGATTATGTAATGCATTTAATGAGACTGTCCAGCACATTGTGAGTGGATGTCCAGCTGTGGCACAGGCACAGTATCTTAAGCGACATGATGGTGTGGTTCGATCATTTTATTAATACCGTCTTCGCAATGCTTGTAGTTTTGATACAGAGGTCCATCCATGGTACGACTCCTGAAGATGTAGAGGGCGTTAAATGGAAAATGATAAATGCAAAATTCTTTGGAATGGGTCCGTTTACAGACGTATCCAGGCCAACGAACCTTATCTTGTCCTTTTTGATAAATCCAATGAAATCATTTATATCATTGAATTTTCTGTCCCTTTTGACACTGGTGTGGTTGAAAGGATTGAGGAAAAACATGACATATATGCAGACCTCGCTATCGAAATGTCACGCTTGCATCCCAAGTACCAAGTTGTCCGACTCCCCATCGTTCTTGATGCCTTAGGTTTGGTACCTCCCAATCTATTGACTGACATTTGGAGAGTATCCGAATTTGGTACCAGGAATACAGCCCTTCTGACACTCTTCACATTCTCTGAAAAGTTCTGGGTGGGTTTGACTAGGCAGCGCTTCCTGGGAGAAGTCCTATTCGCTGTCCGGGCTGCGTGTAGAGGGGGGCAAGGGCCCTGAGCTGATTATGAGCCTAACCTGCCTGACTGTGCCAGGATCACACAAACCCTCTTTGCTGCATTTTATGTTTTAATCTGTACATCATTAAAATAATGTTTTTCCAACCATGTTGACTACACAGCCAGGACACCGGTGGTGAGAGTGACTAACTGTGGGAGACACAGGTAAATACATTACAAATATATGGAGAAGAATTACTACGTCTGTGGTTGTCCGTGAATATGAATAAATCTGATAATTGTCTGATATTTCAAAGTTTCCCCACAACTAAAGTTTGCAAAAAAGGACCTTTGCCGTCCTTGTCCTCTGAATTGTGTTTTTGCAAATGAATTACGTGATAATGACCTGGAAAATAAAACCTTAAAAAAATCTTTAATATCTTGAGATAACCTCTGTTGGCTTTGAAGGCACAACATAATCTCTAAACACACAAGTATCATGCTACGGTTTGACATTATTTGTTTACAGCGCCCTCTGATGGCAAATTAGTCTCGGTAAAGGGCGCTAATCGGATTGTCTTGTACGGTAATGTCATTTCGATGCAAAGCCGAATGTTGATGAGACCCGCCTGTCACATAAAAGCTTGCAAGACCTATTATATACTGTTCAGCAAATTCGCCATGTGCTCGGAGACACCATACGCTTAGAAGACTACACTTTACTGGAGGCAAGATTCGGACTTACACACTGGTGACCAGTGATATCCGCCCTCGCATCACAGACAGTAACCACACCGACTGAATGTTTATGCATGGACTTACGTATGTACACATATTATCTATGTTAGGCTATTTATTTGTCGATTTGACTGGAGTTTGGTTGCAAGTAAGAAACCATTACTTTCTGTGGTTTTACACACAATTAATGCAATAATTGAGGAGTGAATACTTCTTGTCTGAGCTAATTATCCAGCTGGCTTCCGTGTGTCGATTCCCATTTCCATTGCTATTTCCTATCAGTGCTAATTACCCCCTGCCCCCTGCTAATTACCCCTCACGCTTACCCATTGTCAATTGGCTTCCAGTTGTCCATCGCTATCATCTATCAGCGCTAATTAACTGTTAAGTGTTGTCTTCCATTTGTCCATTTCTAATCACCCATCAGCGCCAATTAACTTCTGGCTTCCCTTGTTAAGTTTCCACCTTTGTTCTGTTATTGCTGTTGTTGCTCTAACAGGTCCATATAATGTTCTCCGCTTCATAGCATTTATTCACATGGTGAAGGAGTAAGAATCTCCTCCCCAACCCCATCGGCATCTATTCCAAATCTCAAAATTCCCAAATTCTATATAAGCAACCCCTAAACCCCCCTCTTGGGTTGCACAGACAACTTCGCCCCTTTCGGAAACACATTAAATGGCCTGGCCGGGCCCGTGTGCGAAATACGCATCAGTCGGAAAGCGCACGTTAAATCTCCAAAGTAAGTAAGTAAGTAAGAATATTCTCCGAATCGTTGTGTTGCTCATAATAAAGAAGTAGACATCCATAAATACTCTTCCTTGTGAATACTTCTCGATTGGAGGCTGGGTCATATTCATGTGGAACAGGAATAGTGTAAACATTTCAACTTTTAATCTACACGTGGAATGTCTTTGGTAGACCTGATGTGCAGGATCACTTCCAGGATCACTGATCAGATACGGGCAGATTCGAGGATTCGAGGCAGGATGGGTCACCGGGACATTGTACTGGAACCGACTACAATGATGATCGGGTGGCTCCGATGTACGAAATGACTGATTGTTTGTCACTGTGCCCCGACGGCGAGGTTCGCATCTGATGCTTTGGTCTGGTCTGATCCAGATATTCGTGATACAGATGGGATATTCCTGACTCTCCTGTGAGTGGTTCTTTTTGTTACTACATTCATGTCCCTGTCTTGATTTGTGCTGGATCTGCTTTAATGATTGCCATTCTTTTGTATCACAATGATTGTATCACAATCGATTGGTAGGTTTCAACACAGTTAATGCCCCTGAGTCAATTTTTGGTCATCATTTGGGTCATCGGTAGTCCAATAAAATCCTCAACAATGTTCTCCAACTAATACACTCTATACAACAGCGCCCATCAAGCTGCAAGCACCGCGATATTTACACAGACGTCTGTCTGTGCCGTGGAGTTGTGGGCCTTTAGTGAAAGGGAAATGTGCCGTTTGTGTGGGTTTTTCTATTTATGCACATGTACGCTGTTCCCGGGACTCAGTTATTGGAGTCAGACACATATATGACTCGTGACAGTACTTTACCGGAATGAAATAATAGTATCGAGAACAACAAGACTTGGCTTCGCCCCGCCTACTATTCTCGCGCTTAACCTTTATATCCCCACACCCCGATAAAGAATATAGCCCTCGCCTTGTGTGTGTGTGTGTGTGTGTGCGCGTGTATGTGCGTGTGTGTTTGTGTGTGTGTGCGTTTGTGTGTGTGTGTGTGTGTGTGCGTGTATGTGCGTGTGTGTGCGTGCGCGTGCGTGCGTGCGTGCGTGCGTGTGTGTGTGTGTGTGTGTGCGTGCGCGTGTATGTGCGTGACCTTTGACATAAAAGATGAACGATGTAGCTGACACAAGGTTCGTTTGGCAGATAACTTTATTTTGAAGAAAATATTTCTTCTTTGATATCCTGTACAGGTACAATAGCAAGGAAGAAAATATTTAAAGATACATTAACATACGTACATGTCATCAACAATCGTAATGATCGTATAAAACCATTATCAAAGAAAATACAAATAGAATAAAAACTCACAAGAATCAACACAACACAATTTTAATTTAATGACGAAGATAATGTGATTTTCCGAAAAGAACAACCTTTGTAAATGGCTGTCTTGTATGAGCACTGTGAAACCAATAAGCAAAAACAAAAAGTTCGATATTTTGAAACGGCAGATAACGTCACTGTATGATAGCCGGTGTTCCGATGAACAATTTACTCACTCATGTTACACTGACAAGAAAACTCGGAAGGAACTTCAAATAAGATCAAAGTTAATATTAAGATGACTTATTATGTCAGTAGATGATAATTATTATTATCATATATGTCCGCTATATCTGCGAGTACTTTCCTTCACTTTTAGTCGTTGCAAGGACCCCGAGGAATACATTATCATGTACAATGTAAGTAGAAAGTCACATTTTCACCAATGTTAGTAGAAAGTCACATTTTCACCACCACAACATAGAAATTACGATATATAGGAAAATATATGAAAGTTGTAGAAATGTTTGGATATGACACCCACAGGTGATATAGATATATAGCAAAATATCAGTGAGTCTTTTCAAAATGGAAATGTGAAAAATGTTTGACAACTGAGATGACTGAAAAGCACCACCTTTCCTTTTCATATATGCCCACTTTAAACGTATCTTCGAATACATGTTGACACTTCTTGGCATGGTTGTAATACAGACAAATTTAAACATTAAGGAGAGGAAATGTTCGATTGATGTTGCCATATATCAAAGATGATTAAAGTATTCGAAACAACTTCAAGGAATAAAAAGTAAAAGATTAAAAAGGTCCACCCATCTTCCCTTGTACGTTGTGTATCTGGTATATATCAGATCTTACAAAAGGCATCAATATGAATTTGCAGAGACTGAAGAATTTTATGAATAAAATACATAAAAGATTTCTTTAAACGAAGTATCACATCACAACATCAAAATAATATGAAAATCTCGATTTAACTTGAAGGGAACGGAGAACATAGTCAAAATTATCTAGAAACATGACGAAATTGATTATTGAAATTATGATATTGACCATACAATTTAAGTATAATGAAGAAACATCAAGATAAACAATTAATACATAATATACATATAAGATATAAAAAGCAAAATGTTATGCAAATAAACCTAACAGCCTAAACTCAAATGCTTTAGATAAATGTAATAATGCGTGAAAATGAATAATTCATTACAAATAAAACTGAACACTTAGCTCAACAGAACGCAGAATGTTTCACCTCATAAAGGATTTGCCTTTCAGTAGTTGTAAAAAATGACTAAAATATGAAAAAAATATCACGACGAAGGAAAGATGAAAACTGCAATCAAATGATATAAACTACCAATGTTCTAATAAAATGCAACTCAGAATCCACATTCAAACACGGCTGGGCCCAAGATATTCTTCTCTAAAGAAATTAATGATGAATCAGACATTCTCATTCACTCCCCTTCACAGTCCAGCCTGAAACAATTGTACATGTGGAAATTCCAAAATCATCGAGCACTGTAATCCTGTTGAGCATTTCTTTTAGCAGCTTTACGCCTTGCAATCATGTTACTTTCAACGTGGGTACCATCATCATCCAGTGGAACGGTGACCTCCACCCTGGGGATATTGTCCGCGCTGACGGGTCGCCTGAGACAGGGAGAGTTCGCAGGGGAGATCACTCCCGGAAGAACGGGAGTGGAGACACAACGGGCGATAACTGCGAACGGGCTTCCGGGACTGGAAAGATTGATCCCTAATGTCTCCGTGTTGTGGGGTAGAATATTTTTCAATTTGCGTCTTAATGAACCCCCGCGTCTCTTTTTGGATTGTTTTGTCGAGTCAGTGCGTGACAATCGATCAGAAGCAAGATCTGGTACACTGCTGCAACGTTCAACATTTTGGTTGAGACGAGACTTCAGGCAAAATCTCTTTGTGTTCGAGAACTTGGCAATGGATTCTGCACACTCTTTCCTTCCTACAAAGCGAGCCCATTCTTCGGCACACAGCTTCCTGCCATGATCGCGGAGCTTAGGATCAGCACCTGAAATGACAAAATGTAACGAGTTTAAGAAATAAACGTTGTTGTCAAGTTTTTCTTCCAATTGCAGCTCATTCACAAATTCTAGAATACACCTGATTGGTATAGCGTACTTGTGCACATAGGACAGGGTGAACTCTAAGTTGGAAAAAGCGATTTAACAGGTCGGTGGATATTTTATAAACAAAACGCTACATAACATGTAGCTAGACCACACAGGATACCGTTTGGACTATGAACCCGTCGATCCGAAGAAGGAAATGCCTCTTTATCATTAAGATATTGTGTTGACGTATGGATATTTTTTTAGGTTAACGTAAAGTTGGACGAGGTCACATATTCATTTGTTCGATAAACGACCAATCTTTAAGGGTAATTTAGTGCCACGTTAATCACAGCCTGGCTAAAATAGGAAGTTTATTAACAAAATACACGTTCCAGTATCACGTTCTTGTGATAGTTATACCCTCCCTCTTCAATCTAATTACAGTAATAGGCCATCAGATACATCGCGCATGATTCGCAAAGTATCTCAATTAGTGCAACCCTTCTGTTCCTGGTTTTATTGATTTGTAGAGCAATGGAAAAAAGAAATACACTCGCCTATTTTAAAAAATTCATTTTTACGTTATCATAACACTTATTTTAGCACTCTGTAGTTTCCATGAAATATGATTATCGTTATTATCTTTTGGAATGATGCTATCAATGTTTCTTCCTCTTGTACAGGTCATTAGTTCCATTTATAACGACGACGTCTGTTTGTTTGTGTGTGTATTACTTTTAACGTTGCTTCTTGGCATTTGTATATTTTCTTGGGTTTATAAATCTTGAATCTTTTGATTTTGAATTTGTTGAATATAAAAAAACCCATAGATTATGAATTAAATGTCTTCACGAAAGTGTCATCATTATGTAGTTAAACATATCAGTCCGGGCGCTACTATTCCATGGGAAACATCTAGATCAACGAATCATTACAACGGGAGTATTTTCCGTTGTATGTTGGTATACTTCCAAACACCAATAATCAAGAATGCGGGATGTCCGATTAAAGGAGTCTGGTTTCACTATATATAACAATAACCTTACAATGTACCTAGCATTAAAGATCATTCAATACATATTGATGCACATGTATTATACAAAAGAAAAAAGTAAAAACAATCTTTAGCCGGTTTGCATTTGGTACACTTCTCGCCGAGTCTTTGTTGCAGTTATCGATAAAACTTTGGTGGCGCAAAATTCTATATTTGCTCGCGGGTATCGGATTGCTTTTCCCTGTGGCATATATGGCATGAAGTATTAATGTCTCGATCACCCGAACACTCTAACCGCGGAAGTAAGCTGACAATGCAAGCATTATCCTCAAGTCTACTAGTTCTGAGGTAGGCTGGTGTTCAGAGGACACTTGAAGACAGCCGCGCAGATCACCTGATCCATTATTGAATTAATGTGATCATTTTGTATTTCAGCTCGATAATAACATTCGATTAACAGCGTATTGATTTATGGAAAACATGAATAATTGCAAAATCAGAAACTCATATTGATTTGGGCGAAATAATTGGTCTTCTTAATGGACACGCTCGTTCTGTTCCGAGCAAGAGAGTGCCGTAATTGCTCCGTACAACCTTTATAAGTAGCTATTTATAGCTCAAATTAACTCAAGCACGTGTTACAGGAACGGAATGTGCCTTAGTAATCAACAAGGGTTATACGCAGATGGCACGAGAGGTCGTTGTCTGACTGGTTTTTGTATAAGTATCTAAGTACTTTGTGGATGGTGTACCGCCTCCGTAGTCTGGTGGTAGAGGCTCCGCCTGGAGAGCAGAAGGTTCAGGGTTCGATCCACTCCGCCATACCAAAAGACGTTAAAATATTGTACTTGTTGTTGCCCCGCCTGGCGCACGGCATTAAGGGGCTCAAACAAGGACTGGTCGGCTCAGGGTCAGTATACTGTGACTGAGTGGGTCATTCATGTTAAACTGCGGCATGGTATCTCAGTGTGCTAGTACTGAAAAACGGCATCAGTCCGGACTAGTACAAGCAGCCACACACACACACACGCACACACACACATGCATTCACGTCGCTCTATCAGTGCAAAAATCTCGGACGCGACGTTAAAACTCACCTCACCTCACCTCACCTCACCTCACCTCACCTCACCTTGTGGATGGTCTACTATTAATCTGTCTACAAGTGCATGTTCGTGTTTACGTTTAAGACACCTTCACAATTGTTGGTTTTGTTTGCTAGGCTTTTAACTTTTTGACCAGCCCTCGTACCATGCACTAGTCAAGTACATTCGGTTTATACGCATGGCCTGCGTATTACACGTACTTACACCTGATCATACTTCATAGGGATTGATTTGAACTAGGGCTATCAATGTTTCTTACATCTGTATCTTACTTAAGAAGTACAATGAGTGAGTGAGTGAGTGAGTTGAGTTTAACGTCGCTTTTAACAGTATTCCAGTTATATCACGGCGTGTCAGCTTAATGTGGGAGGAAAGCCCGAAGTGATGCAGGTCTCCGACGTTTACCACTTCGGTAAAACCCACGAGCACGGGTATGGTGCTGACAAACCTAGAAACATAATCGGGGCGAACCGGGATTCGAACCCACAATCATAGGTTTCTGGCGTGTCCAAGGGACGCAACTCTGCACAGCGAATCGCGGCGCCTTAGACGACTGGGCCACCTGTGCCCCCTCTAAATAAGAAAGGAAACAATGACAGTATGAACAGCATTTCCTTTTGGTACTGGGGGCCTTTTCTATGGGATCTCCATTCTGTCGACGTAAATGACAAACATGAGGTACTGGGGCCCTTTTCTATGGGGTCATTATTCTGTCGACGTTAATGACAAACGTGAGGTACTGGGGCCCTTTTCTATGGGGTCATTATTCTGTCGACGTTAATGACAAACGTGAGGTACTGGGGCCCTTTTCTATGGGATCATTATTCTGTCGACGTAAATGACAAACATGAGGTACTGGGGCCCTTTTCTATGGGGTCATTATTCTGTCGACGTTAATGACAAACGTGAGGTACTGGGGCCCTTTTCTATGGGGTCATTATTCTGTTGACATTAATGACAAACATGGGGTACATGGGTTGTTTCTGTGGGATTCCCTTTCAGTCGTGTCTATGGTATCATCATTCTGTCGACTTTATTGACAAACACGAGGTACTGGGGACCTTTTCTATCGGATCACCATTCTGACAGATTTGTATGACAAACATAGGATTACTCGCCCGGAATTCTCAAAAAGGGAAAAAATACAGACAAATATAACCAAGAATTCCGTTTGCTGATCTATATAGCCTGCTCGTCTGTCGATATGTTATACCAAGATATATAGCAGAGAAAGGAAAGGCTCCGATAGCACGGCCGATCGATGGGAACTGATGGACAGGTTGCCAGACTCATTTCATCACGCCTAACCTTGCACTTATGTTCAACGCATTCAGGAGAGATGAATATCAATGCAGGTTTGGTGTATATTTAGATCTACATAAAGGACTCTCTGCGCCTCAAGTTAATATCCACAGAAAATATTTCTTTGCAAGGAAAGTAGTGAGTGAGTGAGTATGGTTTTACGCCGCTTTTAGCAATATTTCAGCAATATCACGGCAGGGGACACCAGAAATGGGCTTCACACGTTGTCAACATGTGGAAAATCGGCGTGACGAGAGAAAGCTTTAACCACCAGGCCACCGCCCTTTGCATGTAAACGAATAGGTAAAACTATATAGAGATTCTATAATTAACAATCGGATTGCTGTGGCCGCCAGGTAAGAAAATTACCCATGCATAAGTGCAAAGAAAAACATCAAGTGGGTACTCCTATGCGTCACATGAATACAACAGACTGATAAAATTACCACCAGGGCACTTCAGTACGGCACTTTCGTTCACTTGGTGTGAGTACCATCAGTTGACGCTTCCTTTACTTGGATACTGCATAGCACTTTACTTAAGTATTGACTGTGTATTTTTTTCGGGTCATTGAGGTATGAATCGGAAAACCGATGTGCAAACATGTTTTATCTACAATAGTTTAACCAAAAACAGCTGTATATATCAAAGCAGACAAAAATGACGAGATTCCGTGTGTAGGAATACATACTGTGGCATGACATGACATGACATGACATGAATCAGGTGATTGTTTAATTTATGCACATAACTTGATTCGCCTGCAAAGTCAGTATCCAATCAACGGAGAGTATGATAAAAACAAAGTTCATATGACCTGTCAATGAAGGCAAGAGTCGAGAAGAACCGCAACAGTCAGACTGTAACGAACCGGAACACACTTGTTCGAGAGAAGGCGGCTGTTTCAAATGACATGGTCAGTTACCGCCAGATTCAAACATTACTTCCCTGAGAACGGGAAGACACAGTTGGGAAAATGCTAGTCAGAAATGAACCCCGCAGACATGAAAGTTGTGGAACCGAGGCGAGCGGGAAAAAAACAGGCGAGTAAGCCTGCAAGTTTCCTGTCTCATTCTTTCTCAGCCTTCGGTTTCAAAGAGTTGTTTGGACAATGAATATGCATGAATTTCGCTAAATGACCTGTGCATGACGATACACGTGAGCAGAAAGGGATTTCCCTCGACTGTAATTTTGGGATTCCCCGACATTGCGTAGAAATAAAAGTAGTCCGCCTCGGTGGGCGTGGTTTAAATTTTACATACATTGGGAAATGAATGCAATAACACGTGACCTATTCAGCTAATCAGAATGCAGGTATTTCAATGAACACAACGAAAATTTAATTATTCATGATTGAAGGGTTTAAAGTCTAGATCATGTATTGTTAAGGAGACTAAGATTCAACAAGGGAAGCAGGTATGAATCTATTAACAGTAGGTACAGGCTTTCGGTTCATTATTTTCAGCAATTGTCACTGAGCATTTTAATTTTTTGCTTTATGCTTATCAGTTAGTTCACGTCATTTTTATTGTGTTCATTGCTTGTGAAGCAGCGT